CCTAGGTGGTTGGTTGGGGGGGGGGGGCGCTTCTGGGAGCGCCCTGCCCTGCGGGGGTAAGCCTGGCTCTTCTTTCTGTGTGTAAGTCAGTTCTTACTGCCCCCACGGTCCCAGTTTCTGCCTCTTGCATTCATCTGTTAATTCACTGAGCGCTTACAGTATACCAGGGAAAAACCAAAGGCGGTCTCGAACTGATGGCTAGTGGAAGACACTGCCGGGTCCCAAGTCAGAGCGACAAGGGTCTCGTGCACACAGTGGAAGTAGTGCCATTTTCTTAACACATTGGCTGGTTCCTAGTTTTTTGACAAGGTCTGTGATGTGTCTGTGAGTAGTAATTTAGCACAGAGATTTAGCTGTGTGTCCCTGGAACAATTCCTTGACCTTTCTGAGCTTCTTTCTTCATCTGTGAAATAGGCATCCGGATTGTAAGTAGGGATCATCTCACTGGATTTTCAAGAAGATAAACTGATTTATAAGTAAAATGCTTTTAAGGACAGGGTCTGACTAGGGCGTTTGACCACTTCCTATTTTAGGCTTTCACAGGCTTCCTTCTCTTATAATGCTGGCTCCATGTGCTGGGTTTTGTGTTGCGTGTTCTGAGTCTCTCTATAGCAGAGTCATTTTCCACCATTTGTTCAAAATTCTACATCAACTCTTGCTGATTACAAACGTGAGACGTGGAGAGGTTTAAAATGTTAACAGCTTGGACAAAGCACCTGGCTTCTCCCTCTTTTCTGTCTCTTGATCGAGCTTGCAGACACCCACCTGCCATGTAGACCCATATGGGCAGGATCTCCCGGCCAGCCCAGCCCAGCTTGGGAGGGGCAGGCAGGTCCAGGCGAAGAGAAGAGCTGGTGAGATGGGCTGGGTTGCTGCCTGGTCTGCAGTGGGGTTGCTCTTCTCTCTGGGGCTAGGCTGCTAGGCTCACCTCTGAAGCCTTAGGAAAACAGGTCCTCCTAAGACAGGGCAGCAAGTCATATTGACTAATGGACTTTTTTGTCCTGCTCTTCCTGCCACAGGAGCTGCAGCATGCAGGGTTGGGGGGTGGGGGTAATCTCATTGACCAGCTGCAGATTTCCAGCTTACAGTAAAGGAGAGTTTACACACACACACACACACACACACACACACACACACACACACACACACACACACACA